ATCGTATATGGATTAAGAAACCACTGGTTATCTGTTATTTTTTCCATTTTTTATCCTAATTATATCATTTATTTTTATTTGTTTATTCTTAACAACCTTATGTACGTAAAAATTGTTCAAAAATGATATTATTGCCATACTTAATATGATGCACTTGATCTACTAGTTAAAAGTCTTTTTTAGAAAAATTTTTACTATTTGACATTGCTACCCTTTTTTAAAATAGTTTAATAATATTACTTACTTTTTTGCTATGCTCTTCACTAATTCTGACTTTCTTTTTTGTATTTGGAACCTGAAAATATAAGGTCTTTTTTATACGTTTAAAAACTTGTTTAGTTTCTTTTAATTGAATAAATAAAATATTTTGCTAGTATTCGAAATCGTAATTTTTAAAAAACTTTTTAATAACTTGAGTTAAACGAAAATATTTAAAAAAATTTAGTTTTTTATATTTAATTTTAAAATTGAATTGAAAATAACATTTCATATAGTTTATGTTTATTTTACATTTTTGCCCCGAATTCCGATCTTTTTTTTTTGCCGATAGTGTATTGACAATAATTTTATCAATCTGTTGTTTTTCTAATTTGCTATGATCCACATATTGTGATTTGTTCGGACATCTGTTTCGAGAACCATTCGGTATTATTTCTAATTTCTGATTGTAATGATTTTCACATAATTTTTTTGAATAATGAGACACATTATCAATGTGGCCATGGGTAATAGGATCATTTTGATATTTAGCAACCAAATATAAGGAAGGAGAAGGAACTTGAATGTATTGATTACGTGAAGGGTCCAAACATTTTAGCTAAAAAAATTTTTATAATATCACACAAATACCAAAATCAATCAGAAATTTTCTATCTACATCAATTTTTGTTTCAACAAAAAAAAAAAAAAAAAAAAAAACAAACAAACAGATTTGACATTGAAAAAAAACAACAATTAATACAAGACTTACTTCATCTCCTTTGATTTTTTCATAGTTTTTCATTTCATTTATCATATCATCTTTGGTTTGTAGTTTCATCCTTAATTCTTCCACTTGATTTTCAAGAATCTTTATTTTTGTTTCCTTGGAAATTAGAAAAAATAATTAGTACTCAGCTTTTTAATGATGAATAAAATATCAAAGTACACCTACTTTTTCACTGTTTTTTCTCAAATCTTCCCTTAACTGATTTATCACTTTATCTTTGTAACGAAGCGACTGAACCGAATCACAAAGCTGCGTTTCAAGATTCTTTATTTCATTCCTCAAACTCATTATAGTGTCGTGTTTTTGAGCCACTTCCAAAGATAAAGCATGTCGGGATTCTGAAGACTCCTAAAAGTTATAAAAAAAATTACATAAGTAATTTAAAAAAAATTTCAATTGTAATGAAAGCAGTTAAGTAGTTATCCACAAACTTTTTCTAAACATGCAAGTTTGTTTCTAAGACATTCAGACTCTCGGCGCGTTTCCAAACTTTTCATCTCATGTGCAGACTCTTTACACTTTTGTTCATGCAAAAGCTTTTCTATTTTCATTTCAGTGTTGTGTAGTTGTTCACTGAGTTTTTTAATTTTAAAATCCCTTTCGTCACATGCACTTTCTTCGTTTTTAATTTCATTGGTTATCTGAACAGCAATATAATTTCTTGAGATAAGTTTTTTTGGTATTCTTGATTACTATCTTTTATTTCTTTTTTAATTTTTACTTTATATTGAAATTTTTCAAATAAATCCTTCTGGGCAGTATAATAATATATATACGCTTAATTTTCTATCTCTTCGCGTTCCATCATTCTCATTAAAAATAAAAGTACATTTACCCACATCCGTGAGTATAAAAGTGTGAGTCTCTAGAGCGCAAAGCGTTTGCGCCCATGGTAAGAAATAAAATTAATTGTATAACTTGATACAGGAAAATATTCGTCCGTAAAAAAACAACCAAAAAAAAAATAAATAAATAAATAAA